CATCAGGATGGACACACTGTGTTTCAGGGGCTGAGAGCTGCAAACCTGTCTGCATGTGCCTTTTGATGAGAGGCCTTGCTTTGCTCAGTTAAATTCAGGTAATTGCATTAATAAAACATTTTAAAGAGCATTACCAAAGGAGAAGGAGGTGCCACTATTCTGAAGTAAAGTTTTCCATAATGAGCTGAGGATCAGTGTATGATAATGCTATGCTTACACAGTCCCTCATATATTTTGGGCTCTGATTACACCCTGAAGAACCCTGCTAGAGCTGTGTCCCTACTGTGCAAAGCACTGTTCAAGAAGACATAAAGTCAGCAAGATACAAAAACCTTCACTGAAGGATTACAGGTGATTTGTGGACAAAACAAAGCAATGAACTTAAGATATAGTGGCAGGGAACAGGGGAGAGAAAAATAAAGTAGAATTTTAGCAATGAAATCCTGGCTCTTTTCAAGTCAGCAAAAACTTTGCCCTGGAAGGAAAAATTTCACCTTTCCTGCTTTTTTTAAATTTTTTTAATTCTTTTTTTAACAGTGTGGAGGAAAAGGCCAAGAGCAAGGTTTGTTTTCCCATCTCTCCACACTTGTGCTGATGCAGGAGACAAATACTTGGGCATCACCTAGGGACTTTTTCAGTGAGGACAGGTCTGGGAGGAGCCAAGGTGGAAGGGGAGAGGACAAGGAAGTGGAGAAGTCATTGGGAAGGGCAGGCAAATCAAGGCAGCAGCAGAGGATAAGCACTGGCAGAGCCAATTGCTAGAAGAAATTGCAGCTCTGTGCTTGGAAGAAAGAAGACAGCCACTGAAGAGCACCCCAAAAATGTCCAGATGGAATTTTCCAAATTCAAGTTCACAACTGCAGGTTGGAGCTGCCCTTCTCACTTGAACATCATCAGGAAGGCCCAAACCTCTGGTGTTCCCACCCAAAGGATAACTCACCCAACGTTCTGCCAGGCTAACACAGATATTTCAATGTCTGTGCTTAGGAAATTGCTGCCACTGCCTGGAGGAGGATGGCACCGTGCCCACCCTGCTGCAGGGACAGGGAGCAGTCCCTGCCTGTCAGTCTAAAATGGAGAGAATATTTCAAGATGTCAGCTTGACAATCTCTTGTGAACTGACCATTTATCTCCCAGCAATGGCATTTTGCTACACATCCAGAGGTCTGCAGGAGGTTATTCTGGATGTGCCTCTGCTGGGTGATGAGAAACCCAGGAAGTTCAGAGCTGATAATGGACTTTCCAACCTGACAACCCAATCCTCTTCCAGTGGCTACAAACACACTGCATCCACGCCATAATTCCATTTCTCAAAGGTGTGTGCTTTTCTGCCAGTAAGTCATGCAAGAGAGCAAAAGCCAACCAGCACTTGGGGACACTGCAGCCTCAGTGACATTTGCAGAGCTCTCCATCAGCTGCCAAGGCCCATCGGTCACGCTGCAGAACGCTGTCTGCTTAGCTTCCCATCAGCTGCTGCCTGGGGACAGCCATTGCAAACCCAGCCATGGGGACCTGCAATAACCAACACCAACCTCCATTTGCTTCTTTTCTGTCTCTCAAAGATCTCTGCTCCTACAGGTGAGTGCAGAGCACTTGGGCTCAGACCTTAACCTCCAGGACTGAAATCAAAGCAAGGATGATGGGTGAGAGAAAAGGCAGCTGCCAAGTGACCCTGAGAGTCCCTACCAGATCCCTCTGGAGAAAACAGCCTGAGATTTCCAGCATCCCTCACACCTTCCCTGCAGCCACCACAGCTGCCTTCACCCCTGCTCTGAGAGGGGGCATGGAGGACCTGAGATACCACATTCCAGTGCACCAAAGAGAAAAGCAGAAAACAAGATGGGAAAGAGAGAGATGGATCCCAGTAAAACCCACCAGACCTGCCCTCTCTCCTGCTCCACAGGTATCAGAATCATGACCCCCAGGCATCAATCTGTATTTCTGTCACATTTGAATCAGATCATGGTTAGCATTACAGAGACTGTGCTGGCCTTCTCTGAGGGGTTTCAGCTGGAACCCCAGCCTCAGCCAAATCCCCCTGCAACCAGGGAATGAGGCAGGCTCTGTATGGGCAGCTGGGGCCCCAAACCCACCAACATCTCCCAGGACCCATAAGAGATGAAGATGCTATGAAGATGCTGCCTGGGGTTAACTAAGCCATCTGTCAAAGACACAAAATTTTACAGAAGGATACAAGAAAAATTCTCAATGGGTTTGGATTTGTAATTGAACTTTAGTTCAGCATTTCAGTTGTAAATGTTAATGATTGAGGGGCACAAGCATAAATATTTGGACAGCTGTCTAAGCTACATGGCTTGTTGGCATGTTTGTATTTTGTGCTTATGGCTGTTATGACTCAAAAAATCAGATGTACAAGATCTATTCACTAGAAGAAAGCTAAATATTCAAGAAATGGGCCTTTGTAACTACTCCTTTACCCTGACAGCATCACAGTTACTGCCAGTGGTAAGAAAAAAAGATTCAATCACATTTGGATTTCTCACCCCAAACCTGAGAAAAAAAATCTAGAAACAATACAGGAAAATTCACCCAACTGGAAACCTCTCATAGATATTGATATCCTAGGAAAAAAACAAATCTGGGTGAAAAAAAATTAATCCAAATTTGTGAAAGATCAGGCAGCTGAAATTTCTACAAGATGAGTCAGTCCTGGCACACACACACAGACACACACTTGCAAAAGATTTTTAAATAGAGGCTAATTTCAGCTGAAACTCAGCAGCGACAAGCACTTCTATAGATGACGATTTGGAATCTACATTCCAGCAAAAGTAAATCAAGTGGGTGAAAGGGTTCTGAGACCACATAAAACAGTGCCTCTGTTTCCACTGAAAGCAGCCTGGGCTCGAGTCAGAACAGCCTCTCGTCTTTGACTTCAGTGTGTGTGCAATGGATGGGAGAAAGTTTGCAGTCATTATCAGTTCAACAGGATGAGGGAAGAGCAGAGCTCAGAGCCTGTAAAACCTATGAACTGCTCAAGATTTCATCTGCAGAGATAGCAGGTATAATCTTTATTCTGCTGAAATAAACAACAAAATGCTTGGATGCCTCATAAAGTCAAGACTTCAGAGAAGCAGCAGCTTCCTGAATCTCAAAGTTCTGCCTTTCCTATAGAATTTATAAAGTCATAGTTCACAGGTGCTTCTTTTTTCCCCACAAAACAGTGATCTTCCATTGTCTGACTCTCCTACAGAACTCTGAGGAAAAAAGCAACCCACTGTTTATTCTAGGTAAACACAGAGACTTTCAAAACATTGGTTTCTGCCCTGTCCCACAACATATTGAGCTTTCAGCAAAACACAAGTCCAGGTCAAGAGTTTGACTGTCAGCTAAATTAAGTGTGAAGGATCTGCCATTAGTTCTGGACAGAGGGTTACTGTGTGTCACAGTGGTGTGACACTGTCTACTTTGTGCTTCTCAGAGGGTGCTGCAACTTTGCTTTCCACACAACACCCCAAGGGTTTGAATACAGCAAGCAGGGAACCAGATGGCTCCTAACTCTCTCCAACAGCTTTTCTCTCCTGTATTCTGTTTTCCTAGAGTTTAAGCTGTTATCAGGATGAAATTATTTCTTTCACGAGAAGAGATCACTACTTTTCCACTTAATTCACACACAAAAGATACTTTAATGACAAGATCTATCTCTCCCACTGAAATCTCTTCAGAGTCCTTACAAATTTCTGCTTCCTGAAAATGAGACCTGATAGCTCTAACATGTAAACCTGATCACCTAGGTGGGATATCTCACCACTTGACAACACAGATGTCAAAATGCAACCACTGAAGTGTGATCATGGGATGAACTTGGGCCTTCCCAGGGCAAGAAGAAACTGTTATCTGAGCAGTTATATCCAGATCAGCATCTTCACATCCCTCAGCAAAGCAGGGTGGCCCTCAAGGAGATGCTCCTCATACATTTGCTTTATCTTGTGCTTGTGACATTAAACTGTCTTGGGCAGACTCAGTGACTGCAGCTCCAGATGGACAGAGAAAGAGAAACACACACCACACATGATAGAAGAAAGGAACTACTAACTGCTACCTTCCCTGAAAATGCCCATTTCTGTGAAAAAGGAACTGCCATCTATGTTACTGAGAACTGGTGAAGTACTCAGACCTATATGCAATTATTTTCCTTGCAGGAAAGACAATGAACTGGCCAAGTGTATGATAAGATCTGGCACTCAGCCAGGAAGAGTTCCAGGCTGTTGTTAATTATGGAGGTTCAACTCTTAAAGCCACATGACCTGGAAGAACAAACTTGTGCACGTACAGCTTTTACAGCCCCTGTTCTTCACTGTGAAATGCTCTTTTCAGAATTGAATAGCACAATTGAAAGCTCGTGATCAGACTCATTAGAATGAGAATTGCAGGTTGTGGAGTGGTTTTGGAAAACACGACTTGTTTTTAAGATGTATTTCAGGATTTCTTTATGACATTCCTTACAATAACTCAACCATTACAATGAAACCCCATGCTTCTCATTGCTTGAGATGCTCATCTGCCTAGGCTTTCATCTTCTCCATTCTAGACAGCCTTATCACAGTTGAAATGAAAAAATTAAATAGAGTTTACCATCTACTTATTTGCATGCTCATACAGTTATGAGTAACAACTCTCAGCACCATCCCATCAATTTTTTGCTATCCAAATTGCAAAAGGGGTTCTTAAAAAGCACTCAGTACTGGGTTACACAGCCTTGGTAGTCCAGCATGAGCCATGCTATGAGCAAAGGAGGCAGATGCAGAGGGCTGGCAATTCCCACAGGGGCTTTTCACTGACCACTGGCCCTCAGGGGTGCACAGAAGGGGGAGGTGACAGTTTTTACATGAGTCAGACCTGATCACAGCTAAAAATGACTTCAACTTCAGCATTCATCAATGGCAGTAAGCAAATACTGAGTGCCTTTGAGAGCTCCCAACAAAAAATACAATTCCTAAAGCATACTGGTAGGAAATAGTGAAGAAAGGATTCCATACCTTAAATTCCTCCAAGATCTTGTAATTTTTCCCATGATATTCACAAAAGTTTTTTACTTCTTTGCATTCTGGACAGCATCCATTGTGTTCCACTTTTGTGCACTTTGGGTGGATTTTAGGGCATTCTGGTTGATCACAAACAGGTCCATCCTCAGTACAGACACAGGGACAGTTGGAATGTCCTGGGAAAAAACGTTCTCCCAGTTTGTACACAAAGCCACTGTCATCCACACAGCCCTTCCCCCGGTAGTCATCAAAGATCAGATTGTCATTACTGGAGGTCTGGTCCCCTTCATCAGCGGGGTAATCTTCATGATTGATGGCAGCTGGAGTGACCAAACCAGGGAGCACAAACAGAAGTATCCAGGCTTCATGGATGTGAAGAGCCATCCCCCTCCTCAGCTTCTCCATGGGACCTCAAAGCCAGATACAAACAGTTGCTTCCATAGGGAGACCAGTGTTGTGGTCTGAAAACAAACAGTTTCAAGTGAGAAAAAACTCAAAATTCAAGGAATACTGACTTATAAAAGTCATTGTTTCAACCAGTACCGAAGAATAGATCAAAGTTTTTAACTATCACTGTTTCATTTGAATTAAACCTCTTCCTAACTATTGGCAAAAAGAACAAAGCATGTGAAATACCTAAAATTAGACACACATGCCTGGAAGCATATGACCATAAAATATCTCTGAAGGAATGGTGGTTCACAGAATCATCTAATTTTTACCTTCCTCATTTTTGCAGTTGAGTTTTTGGATGCACCAGAAATTAAACCAGCTGCCTGAAATCTCATAGTGATGGGCAGCTCAAAGGGTTTTGAAGCCAAGTTTAAGAATGGTCTAAACCCCCTGTGGGGGCCACTGTCCCTTGGTGCTATGTATGGAGCACAGCCCACTTCATTAAACCGAGGTGGGAAACCTGAGCTGAAAAAGGAGTTAAACATAATCTGCTGTCAGATCTGTGTCTGAGCTGAAAGATGGTGCTGGGTTAAATTTGGGGTGCGAGAGGTGGAATAGTATAGAACCTTATTTACAGCATTTCTGAAGAGGGACTTCCTGGGCTACCAGCACAGCCCAGCCCGCAGCAGGTACGTTTAACCCTGCCAGAGGCAAGGATGCAATTCACCATCTCCGTTATTCAGCATTTCAGTGATTCCCAGCAAAGACCGCGGAGTGCAGGACGTTAAATGCCTGCATAATGCATGGAGCCGCTGAAACGTGTCGGCCTGATTAAGCTGGAGCCTTTCTAAAACTTCGGGAGCGACGCAGCACGGCCCGACCTGCGGTGAGCTGTGCTCAAGTGGTGGAGCGAGCACGGAGCCCGGCAGGGACAGGGGCTTTCAGCGACCCCCGGAGAAGGCTCCGTGCCGGTGCCTTGGGAACACTTCTGGCTGCCCACGGTGCCACATCACTGCCACCAACCTGCCCACGCACCAGCCTGCAGCCAGAGCAACCCTGGCAGCAAACTGGTTTCTAACCCCTCTTTAAAAAGCTGGGCAAAGTATTACAGGAAACTTTTAAACGAGATGAAATATCAGCATTACATGGACTGCAGAACTACGGAGGCAGATGCTGGCACAGACCAAAACAAGAAGGGCTGTTGGGGTGTGTGTGTCATCATCCCTTCTTTTCCTCCATTCCCAGAGCATGCACACACAGGCACACGGAGTCTACACAAACATGCATTAACCTACACACACGGGCAAACACGTACTCCCCCCACCCCTCGGGGTGACATTTTTATAGACTGGCTTTTTTGGTGGACTGCAGATGTTCGGCAATTAATTCTCCCTTAATTGAAGCAAAAAAGGAGCAGCAGGAGGAGAAAGCTTTAATCCCAGAGAAGCAGCTAAAGCATCCTGTTGACCAAGCAGTTTTTCCGAAGCCACAACAGAGGGAGACACCGGATATTACACAAGATTTATCAAATTCGAAAAGATATCTTCTTAATTAAAGTACTAGCTGTGTTTCCATCACAAGGACTATGCACCCTCTTGTTACTCCTATCAGCAGTATCTACTGTAACACGATGCTTGGAAATCCAGCGATTCATGCAGATACGGCTGCTTTACATATCTACAGAGCAGAGCATCTCCCCACCTAACGCTACAGGTAGGTTGCAACACTGCAGATTTGTGGGCATTTAGGGGAAAAAAAAAAGAGCAGCAAACAGTCATTCATATCTGAGGAAATGTGAAACACTTGTGAGAATTTGTGGGAGTTTTATGAGGAAGCTCTCAAAACAAATGTGTGCGTATACATATATGTATATAAAAGTTCTCCCCAGATATTTTGCTACAGCAGCTGAGATGTCCCACAGCAACTCACAGGCACTCGGCTCGATCCTGGAAATCACACAGACTGCAGACGTCTTGCACGGACACATTTCAACAAGTAAACAAATGCTGCTTGGCTGAGAATTAGTTTACAGCTTGAACTTTCTCATCATTTCTCATCCTGAGAGAGGCCAGGATCGTAGGTAAGTCTCTGAAACGTTTCCATCCGCCTTCCCTCACCCCAAGTAAATAATTCACACCTACCTGATCAGGATGGATGTGAAAGCTGAGAGGGGTCACAGGCCAACATGGACTGAAAGGTTAGAAACAGATTAGTGAAAGCAGTTCATCCTAATCACGTTTTCGGTGTTGACTCACGGACAATCCCTTTTCCTCCACCTCCCATCGCAAAACGGGAGCGCGGCAGCCCAGCAACCACAACATGAGAACTGAGCTTTAACCCGGCGCCGACGATTCAGAGGGAGCAGGATTCAGGCGGTCCGGAGGCTGCGATGCCGCGGAGAAACCCCGGTGCCAGCAGCAGAGTCATCGCGGCGAACTTGGGCTGCATCTCCTCAGGTCTCGGGGCGGGCGGGGGAGAGAAAACAACCCATCCCTGTCCCCTCCCTGTGCCCGGCGGATCTCCTGCGGCTCCAGCTTCGCCTCGGCGGGGGAAGGGGGGGAGCGATCGCGGGTTAGGCGGGAGGCAGGCGGGGGAGGGCGGGCGCAGGAGCCCCGCGCCCGGCGGGCGGGCGGCCCCCGCGCCCCTCCGGGGACTCCCCGGCCCGGACGCCGGCCATGCCCGCGCCGCGCAGCTCCGCGCTCCCTGCCTGCCCTTATTAGGATTAATTTTGCTTTTAGGAGGGTGGTGGTAAAAAAAAAAAAAAAAGAAAAAAAAAAGAAAAAAAAAAAAGAAGAAGAAGAGAGAAGAGCCGGGGGGGTAAAACCCAAAAAATAATGCAGGGGCGGGGCGCCTCCGCCCCGGCCGCTGCTCCGCCTGCCGCCGGCTGGGGCGACAGCTCTGCCCAGACCTGGCGGTCCCCCTCAGATCCACCGGCTCCCGTCAGATCCGCCAGCTGGAGCTCCTGTCAGCCCGGCTCCCCTCAGCCCGGTTCCCCTCAGATGCACCGGCTGGAGCTCCCCTCAGCCCGGTTCCCCTCAGAACCACCGGCTGGAGCTCCCCTCAGCCCGGTTCCCCTCAGAACCACCGGCTGGGGCTCCCCTCAGCCCGGCTGCCCTCGGATCCGCGGGTTGAGGGTTCTTTCAGCCCCTCCGCTCTCTCCAGCTCCGGCTCAGCGCCGCTGCCCCGGCGGTGTCCGGGAAAACATCCCCCATGGCCGCATTGTGGAAACTTCGCCTCATCTTCCCACAGGCGGCTGCGCCGGGGAAGGGGCGCCCCGGCTCCTGTGGCTCGTGCTGCGCTACATTAAAAATCAATCTCCTTGCAATTCGGCTGCGCCGGCATTAGGCGTCATTGTAAAGCTGTTTCTCCAGAAACCACCAAAAGAGAGATTCTTGGCACTGGGGAAAACGCGGTGACAACAGGAAGAGGGAGAACTAGAGGGGTTTATTTGGATAAAGCGCTAAATAATGCTCCGTTTGGGCGAACATTCCCCGAATAGCGCAAAGACGAGCTAGGAAGCTATAAGCGCGCAGTGCTGCTGTCAGACCGCTCTCGTGGAAGGCGATGTCACTGTGTGTCACTGTGTGTCACTGTGCCCAGCTCCAGAGGCAAACCCTGCCATCGGCACCCGCGGACAGCAGGGAATCCTGGCTGTGGAAGCGCACGCAGCGCACCTCGACCCCGGGGCCGCGCAGGATGGAGAGCTGGCCCACGGCCAGGGACAGCACCTTCACGGAGCCCTCGCTGCTGGCCAGAGCCACCAGGTCACCTGAAACACACGGCAAAGGCATCATCGAGGTTGGCAAAGGCTGCACAAGAGAGCGGCACAGGAAGTTTTGAGATGTTGGCTTTAAAGCGACTCACATGTACTCCTGTTTTCTGAGATAAATTAACAGAAAGTTGGACGGATCAATAACAATGAGATTGGATTTTGCAGCAGTTAGGTCAGTCTGGAGACCTCATGTTCTCCTCACAAGGAGCCTGGCTACTTAGACAGAATGGCAGAATCTGCTGAGTTGGAAGGGACCCACATGGATCATTGGTGTCCAACTCCTGGTCTTGCACAGGACACTGCAAGGGTCACACCATGTGCCCAAGAGCATTGTCCAAACCTTTTTTGAACTCTGTCAGGTCTGGAGCTGTGACCATCCCTGGGGAGCCTGTGCCAGTGCCCCACCACCCTCTGGAGGAAGAACCTTTCCCTAATATCCAACTAACCCTCTCCTGATACAGCTGCAGGCCATTCCCTGAGGTCCTGTCACTGGTTCCCACAGAGCAGAGATCAGTGTCTGCCCCTCCTCTTCCCCTCACAAACCCTGGTGAGTCCCCCCTCAGTCTTCTCCAGCTGATCAGACCAAGTGCCCTCAGTCATTCCTCACACAGCTTCCCCTCAAGGCCCTTCACCATCTTTGCTGCCCTTTGAATGCTCTCTGATAGCTTAATAATTTTTTTTTGTTACAGTGATGAGAACTGCACACAATACTCAAGGTGGAGCAGACCAGAGCAGGACAATCACTTATATTTGAATACAGTTATTCAGGGACAGATTCTGAAACACAGACTGAGCACCAGAGGAGTAGATGCTCTCCTAATACCTGGAGGCATCAATATCAGACCATGCTTTTGACACTCCTTTTCTTGTACCACTCTTAAGACATGAGGATATGAGTCTTCAGCTGAATTTCCAGAAGGTCAGGCATCTAACTGTACTGAGTGCTTGCTCCTTTATGTCCTTATGGAGAAAATGATGATTAAATCCTTAGTATAGAACAGGGTTTAACAGTAGAAAAAATAAAAGAAAACCTAAAAAAGGTTCTAAGGAGTTCTCAGTTTCCATGTGCTTTTTTGCAAATCAAATGGACTCAGTTTTGAACACTTTTAAGGAAGCAGAATGTGTTTATTATCTTCCTGCTTAAATAAAAGCAGAGGTAATAGCTGGTAAGTGATATGTTTGAAGTGCCTCTTATCCAGCCTCCAGATAAAGATTCTGCTTTAGAAATTAACTATAATAATAATGAGTTTCACGTACAAAAAAACCAAAAATCAATACATTCATTTCAAATCTGATGAGGCCCTAACAACAATGGGATCACTGTACTGTCAGTCATGATCTTGGTCAAACACTTTTTTCTATTTAGAGCGAGTTCAATACACCCTGCGAGTGATTACAGCCCTTCTTATGTATTGAGATTTTCTCTCGGAAAGCAAAGACATCACCAGCAGAAGAATAATTGAAATTGACATAGACCAAGTCCATCTGGCACCAAGGTCATAATTTTTGGGAAGATTATGAAAAACAGGAGATATTTTTCTATTTTTGGTAACTCAGGTTATTCACCAAATAGCCAATAGGAACATACTGTCCAACAGATGTGAGCATGGAGGAATTTATCCCAGTTTTAACACTTTAGGGCCCTGGGTGTGCCTATGTGATGTACAGTTTATGCAGGGAATATATTGTCCCTCTAAGTCATAACAATGATGCTGTCTGTTCTGCTCATGAAGATCTGATGGCTTCATTTCACCATTTATCAAAAGAAACACGTAGCCTCAAACAGCTTACAAATGCACTGAGAATATTTAGCCACAACTTATGCTTAGTGTGGTCATGGATATTTGTGCAAGAAGGAACTAGCAAGTAGAGCTAACCATGATAAATATGCCCTATTTGCAAACCTTTACAACTACCCAGCTTCTTCATCTAGAACAAAGCCTGACACAGCAAAGATCTGTAGGATGGATTAGAGTGTCCAAAGCAGCAGATGTGAATATTTATTATAAACTCTCCTCCAGCAAGTCTTTGCTGACAGAAGCATTGCATATGGATCGCACTTGCAGCGAGACTCTCCAGGCAATCGCTGGATGACTTCTCCAGGAGCCAAACAAATGCCATTTTGCCTGCAGCCCTGACACCACAACAGCTGGGCAGGGGGTTAATGTCACTTCCAGCTTCTCAAAACCACTAATGAACCCAGTTGTTACAGAGAGGGACAGGCAGGAGAAAAGATCTGGACAGCTGCAGTCCACTTCCAGAAAGCAAGGGCAGGACAGAGTGACAACTGAGACAAAGCTTCAGCTCATTCACTCCTTGGGTTGAGCAGGGCAGGGGCAGGCCCCAACCCTGCATTTTTCTGCATGCTTGGCTAGGTAAGCCACATGCCTGAAGCAAAACCATAGCACTCATCCTGTCAGTCCATGCTGCATTCTGACAGTCCTGGGAAAAGACAAAGCCAAGAGGAAAATAGAGAGGGTCAGTAAAAAGCAGCCAGCTCAGAGGTGCAGTAGTACCCTGAACTGCCTCCATCGCTGCCACTCACTGGGGGAAGGATGGAGCTGCACCTGCCAGCCCTGGTGAAGGATTATTCATTCCACAGGAGTTTCTCCCAGAGTTAGGAGGTGTTACTATCACTGACCATGACACAGCCACCTCCTGGCTCAGCAGCAGCAGGATGCACAGGCAGATGCATGTGAGGGGAAATGTACAAAATGACAACATCTCATTTCCCTCACCCTTTATGTCAACACTGATCTACAGGCTCATAACAATTTGCTCATTATAATGTAAATTTACTCCCTCCTTCCTTCTGAAAGGAGATGTTTCAGTTTGGGAAGAGGGAACAAATTGTGTTTTATTGCTCTTTCAAAATTTTTTCCAATTAGGAAAGCAAACAAAAACTACTACATAATTGTGATGCAAAGCTGTATTTTAACGAAGGATACTTACTTGTCACTAACAAAGGCACTTTGATATAACACTGGAGGAAGATGAAAGCCTGAAGAGAGGTAGTTCTTCATACCTTTGACCCAACTGTCAGGTGGGGCTGGTCTGTGCAAACTCACTGAACTGAGCAGTTAGGCTGATTTACATTGAAATGAATAGATTCTGCTTAGAAGATGCAAAGTCTCCAAGACTCTGACCTCCAGATCTCACAGCCTCTAGATCTCCAGCTCACAAGGCTTCCAGAACCTGCTCTGGATCTGTTGATGCACTTGGCAACATGGGGAGATAAAAGTGAAGCTTTGCTCTGGCTGGCCCCACGCCAATCCTGAGCTCACCTTCTTCCTCAACCTGGCACACAAGGAGTGATGACAAAGCACATTGCCACCACAAAGAGACCCTACAGCAGCAGCCTTTGTGCCAGTCACAGCTGATTTGCTGTTGCCCATTGCTAAACACAAGTTCTAATTTTTCTGATGTACCCCTATTATGTCCTTAGAATAACATAAGCTCTGACCATCTGGACACTTGCTTCAAGAGGGATGCAGTGAGTTGGAAAAGGTAAAGAAAGGTAGCAAAGCCAATTAAAGGTACAAATAACTTCTGTGCAAGAGATCCTTGAGGGGATGACAGCTTAGCCAAGAAAATGGCTAAGCTGTGCATTAAAATGTACTTGGCTGATGGTGCTTACTCCACGTGTAAACCTCAGGCTTCAGGCCTTTCTTGGGGATCC